TTTATTACTTAAGACTTGGAAAAAAAAAAATTTTTTTTTGTTATATATAGTTCTTTTCTCTTCAACTCTTTGGTAGACTTTTTAGAGCTATCCAAAATTTAGCAAAATAGCCTATTACTGGTGTTACCAAAAGAATCTACTAATGTTAACTTTTTATTTATTACAAAAGTCAATTTTTTTTTCTTTCTTATCATATGAGAATTTTGTGATTCTTAAAAATTATTGAAAGAACTTTTAGTTTATTTATAATTTATTAGAGACATAATCTTTGATAAATTATACATTAATTATACTAAATTATGTATAAGTTAAATTTAACTTTTACACTAAGTTGCTTCAGAGAAAGTTGATTTGTTTTTTTATGATTTTTTAGGTATTGGTATATTTTTAAATAATTCTTCCTATTATATTTTGTAACTTAAACATTATCAAATTGGCATTAACATTAACTACTGTTTTTTTAAGTGTCAGTAAATAAGAACTTCTAAAGGATATTTTATTACTCTTTTTTTTTATATTTTTATTAGCATTTTTTTATTTATTTTATTTTTTTGTAAACTTCTTTAAAAAGTTATATATTTAATTTTTTATTAAATAGTATAGGCATGTTATTATTATTATTATTACTGTTATTATTATTATTATTGTTATTATTGTTATTACTATTAATATTATTATTATTATTATTATTATTATTAAATATGCAGAAAAGTTAAAAGCAAATTTAATTTTATTATTTACTCCTCCTACAATGTTATTTCATAACAGATAACATACCAGACTTATTTGTTTTAAAAAGAAATTGTTATTGATGTGTTTTGAAACAGTTATATATTTTAAAAACAAATAAAAAATTTTTTTGAATAGTCTTTCTATAAAATGATTTGTGATCTTCTTGATCTCTGAACATTTAACATGTTTATAAAAATAAATCTCTATTACTTTAGTAAAAATTTTATTTCATTTTAACTATTTATTAAAAACAATTTTTTTTTATTATTTCAGCTCAGCTGTAAATATTTGTAAAAGGTTTTATCTCCAGTTTCTTATTGTTATCTTAAGTTCATCTTGAAATTTACTGTTTTTAACTGAATTTGTTTTTTAAAGAAACAACAAAATTCCATTTTTAAGAAAGTTAAGAAAGTTTTAAGTTTAAGATAGATGTCTAAGAGTTATTGGTTTTAAATTGATTCTTTAATATCATCAAAAAGCAAAAAGTTTTTTTATAAAGAGATAATGTTGTTTTTGATAATTGATTTTGTTTTCTTATTTTATTTTCTATTTTTGCAAGTCTTGAAAACTTGGTCAGAACATTAAAAACATAAATTACATGACAGAACATTATACATTACAAAATAGACATGACAGTAAGAAAATGCTTTCTTTCATTTACATCATTATTAAAGGTTTTTTCAAACTAAAAACTGTTTAAATCAGATTTAAAAAAAATTATTTTCAATAAAAAGTTCAAATATTATTCAATAGAGCTCTTTTAAAATTATTTAGTAGACCAGCTTAAATTCTTACAATATTTTGTATTGAAATAATACTATATTAAAATAGATGTGTATGGGTGTGGTCATGAATATATATAGTTCTATATATAAATAAAGAATATATATTAAAGAATATATTCTATATATAAATAATGAATATATATAGTTCTATATATATTCTATATATATGGGTTACATCTTAAAAAAAACCATCATAAAGTTGTATTTTTTCATTTAATTAAATTTTTAATTTTTATATATAATTGATGATCTATTTTATAAATAATTAATTAACATTATATTGATCACTCTAAAAAAATGTACGAGAGGCTTTGTATCTTTATTTGGTACAAAATAACTTGCAACAGTATATACATATATATATATATATATATATATATATATATATATATATATATATATATATATATATATATATATATATATATATATATATATAGGGGAAGTGGGGGTGTAACCGCCCCTGTAACGTTTGTATTGTTATATGAAAATAAAAAAGATATGTGTTTTTTTAACAGTTTATATCAATAACTACATCATTAAACTTTAAATTGATGCAATTAAAAAAAAAAGTTTTTGAAAATGTTATTGCACAAAAATTTCACAACGGTTTTGCCCCCATTGTGAAGCACAATCGCACCCTCGCAAAAATTGTTGGGGTTACACTTTTCTTGGTAGATTTTCTTTACAATTGTCACAGCTCAGATTATTTGCTGATTTTGTTGCACATTTGCATTTACTGTGTAGAGATTCTTTGTACAGTCTGAGTTTTCTCATTCGATATACTCTTAGTTTTTTTTATTCAAAAACTTATTTATAAAAATTAAATAAAAAAATACGAAATCTTATTTCCAACATCTCAAAACAAAACTATTTCTTTTCATATTTTTTTATGAATGCATTTAAGTGTGACGATTGTAACTATTGTTATTCGTAATTACCTAACTTTGATAAATACTAAAAATATGCAGCTCTGCCCCAGAGGATAGTTTTTAGAAAGAATACAGTTTCATAGCTTGCTTATTAGATTATGTTGATACCAAAAATGGTTTTCACTTGATGAAATAGTGCTGATAATCTTTAACACTAAAATCAAATATTGCTTAATGCCTCAAAAATAAGGTCTGGAAAAATATAATGTAAATATATTATTTTTATCAAAATAAACATTATTATGCATAACTTCTCAGAAATGTAACAGGCACTCTTTTTGACAAAAGCGAAATGAAGGAAACTGTTTTGACAACGCGTGGTATGTTTTTTGCTATATTAGATAACATTTTTCAAAGGGAAATGTTAAAAAATGGTTGTGCCTCCATATGCAGTTATGCCCCCACTGCCCCTATATATATATATATATATATATATATATATATATATATATATATATATATATGCTGATCCAAACTGGTTTTTCAAAAGAGAAACAAAGACTAAAGTTTTTTTTTTATCATTATAAAAGTTTTTATTATAAAAAGATAATAAAAACTTTTATAATGGCTGCCCAAACACTTAGTTAATGTATAAAGTCTTACAGCTCCTTATTTCAGGATGTCATCATTAATAACAAGCTAAGTTTGAAGAGATATATGCAAGATAATATATATATATATATATATATATATATATATATATATATATATATATATATATATATATATATATATATATATATATATATATATATCTTTGCTTAAACTTAGTTTTGTATAAAATGTCATTGATAGCGTCATACTATTATCATCAGCTATGGATTTATTATATAGATTGTTGTGGGTTTATTACTTACATTGACTAAATGTTTGAGTACTAGCAAAAGTTTGATTTTTTAGATTTTTGATTTTTTCTTTTTCTGAAAAAAGCTGTCTGAATTGAAGCCAGTATTTTTAGTCTTTAAGTGTGAAAGTGCAAAATTATGGCTTAATTCTGCAAAAGTAAGTTGACATATAAGTCTTTTATAGACATTTTTTTATAAAGATTTGTCAGTATCTTGTATATACAGTTTATTTGGTAAGAATCTTTTCTAAATGAACTTATATCTATAAATTGTCTATGAAAACTTGTTTGTTTGCTTTTTTTTCTTAAAGGTTAAAATAAAATTAAACCAAATATTTTAACAAAAATGTTGACAGCTGATTGTTTAATGTTGTTTTCTTATTTGAAGAAAAGTTTAAAATCAAATAGTTTTCTCTCAAAGATTTTTAACTAATAGAACAAATCATGTTTTTAAATGAAAAACTTCAAAGGCGTGATTCATTACTTCAGGTTGTGTCCGATTTTTCTCACAATTTCTTTTTAAAAACTGGACATGCAAGTAAGGAAACTGGTAATAGTTCTATGCATCACCTTGCTTTAGGTATGTTAAGGTTTTTGTAAGTATTTTTAAATATTATACTCATTATATACCTCATTATCTATCTAATTATCTACCTCATTATCCACTTCATTATCTACTTTATCATCTATCTTATTATCTATCTTATTAACTTCATTATCAACTTCATTATCAACCTCATTATCAACTTTATTATCTACCTCATTATCTATTCATTATCTACCTCATTATCAACCTAATTATCAACTTTATTATCAATCTCATTATCGACAATATTTTACATTTTCTTAATTGGCCAAACTGTATTTTTATGCTATGAGAAGTGTAAAGTAGATAAGTCACCCAACATACTAGATGAATAAAAAAGGTGACAAATAAGATAATTGGGTAAGGTGTAAATAAATTATTATAAATTAAATAAGTTATAATAAATTATTAAAATACAATGTAAGTGAATTATCTCATCATATTTGTGAACTCAAGTTTTTACAATAAAAGTCCAAGTATTTAAGTTCAGAAAAATAATTTTTTATATTTAGTAAAAAATTAGCTTTGTTTATGATTATTATTTATTACTAGTTTTATTTGTTTAAATTTAAAATTATTTCACTTATTTATACAATTTAAATACTTATACTTTTGTATAAATAAGTATTTAAATTGTATAAATAAGTAAAATAATTTTAAATTTTAAAATAATTTTATTATACACTTCACTTATTTATACAATTGTAAACTTAAGATTTGTAATTGAATTTTACAATTCAATTACAAATCTTAAGTTTACAATTGTCTATAAGTTGTTTGAAAAAAAAAAAAAAACAATTTTAATACTCAAATTTATTCACATTAATTAAACTTATTAGATCAAGTTGTTATTGCTGAATTGATGTTGTGTCATCATGTCATTGTCAAGTGTTGAGATGTTGCTTTTTTTTTTTTTTTTTTTTTGAAGATGTTTCTGCAATTCTTTTTATTCATTGTTAAATGTTTGAAAAATGTAAAATGTTTATGCAATTGTTCTCTGTTGTTTTAAAATATTTTATTTGTTTTTGTTTTTTTGTATTATTTTTTTTTTGTTTGTCTGAGATGTTTTTGTGTTTCTTTTTTTTTTTAATATTTTACTTTTTATTTAATTTTTTTTTTAGGTATGATGGAATTGAAGAAGCAATCTTCTGCACCAACTAAGGCACAATTAAAGAGCACAGTTTTCCAAAATGATTTTTCATCATCTGATAAATTTAACTTCAATACTTTAGAAGATTCTTCTTCAAATTTAAAACGTAAAAAAAACAGTTCACACTCAAGTGAAACATCCTGTGAATCTTTGGCAACTTATGAAAATACTGATAGTGACTCTTTTACTGAAAACTCTCTACACAATTTAGCTTTAAATCAATCTGATATTTTTTTAAATATGACTCTTGATTCCAAATCAAAAGGGTCTCCTAATTCTATTTATAGTTGTTCAAAAGACTCCATATTTGATTCAAGCTTAGATTCCTCTTACTTAAATAAAACATTTGAAAATGGAGACATTCTTAATCCTCGCTCTCCATTCTTAGTTGATGCAAACTTATCAAGAACTCAAAAAATTTGTCATGAAATGCTTATTACTGAGAAAACTTATGTAAATGATTTGAGAGAAGTTATTGAAGTAAGATTTTTTTTTTTTTTTTTGAGAGAAGTTATTGAAGATTTTTTTTTTTTTGAGAGAAGTTATTGAAGATTTTTTTTTTTTTGAGAGAAGTTATTGAAAATTTTTTTTTTTTTTTCGAGGGAAGTTATTGAAGTAAGATTTTTTTTTTTTTTTGAGAGAAGTTATTGTAGATTTTTTTTTTTTTGGGAGAAGTTATTGAAGATTTTTTTTTTTTTGAGAGAAGTTATTGAAGTAAGATTTTTTTTTTTTTTGAGAGAAGTTATTGAAGATTTTTTTTTTTTGAGAGAAGTTATTGAAGATTTTTTTTTTTTGAGAGAAGTTATTGAAGATTTTTTTTTTTTTGAGAGAAGTTATTGAAGTAAGATTTTTTTTTTTTCGAGAGAAGTTATTGAAGATTTTTTTTTTTTGAGAGAAGTTATTGAAGATTTTTTTTTTTTTGAGAGAAGTTATTGAAGTAAGATTTTTTTTTTTTCGAGAGAAGTTATTGAAGTAAGATTTTTTTTTTTTTTGAGAGAAGTTATTGAAGATTTTTTTTTTTTCGAGAGAAGTTATTGAAGTAAGATTTTTTTTTTCTGAGAGAAGTTATTGAAGATTTTTTTTTTTTGAGAGAAGTTATTGAAGATTTTTTTTTTTTTTGAAGGAAGTTATTGAAGTAAGATTTTTTTTTTTTTTGAGAGAAGTTATTGAAGATTTTTTTTTTTTGAGAGAAGTTATTGAAGATTTTTTTTTTTTGAGAGAAGTTATTGAAGATTTTTTTTTTTTTGAGAGAAGTTATTGAAGTAAGATTTTTTTTTTTTTTGAGAGAAGTTATTGAAGATTTTTTTTTTTTCGAGAGAAGTTATTGAAGTAAGATTTTTTTTTTCTGAGAGAAGTTATTGAAGATTTTTTTTTTTGAGAGAAGTTATTGAAGATTTTTTTTTTTTTTGAAGGAAGTTATTGAAGTAAGATTTTTTTTTTTTTGAGAGAAGTTATTGAAGATTTTTTTTTTTTTGAGAGAAGTTATTGAAGATTTTTTTTTTTTGAGAGAAGTTATTGAAGATTTTTTTTTTTTTGAGAGAAGTTATTGAAGATTTTTTTTTTTTTGAGAGAAGTTATTGAAGATTTTTTTTTTTTGAGAGAAGTTATTGAAGATTTTTTTTTTTTTGAGAGAAGTTATTGAAGATTTTTTTTTTTTTGAGAGAAGTTATTGAAGATTTTTTTTTTTTTGAGGGAAGTTATTGAAGTAAGATTTTTTTTCAGAGAAAATTTATTAGAGAAGTATTTTGGAAACTTGTATTTTTTCTTTCTTTTTAAAGATTGCAGGGTTAAATTTTTTTTTTTTACAGGGCTATATATATCACTTGAAACAACAAACTGACTTGAATATTGAAGAATTATTTGGAAACTTGGAGGAAATTTATGAATTTAATAAGTAAGTCTGTTTTTGAAACTCTTTTTATAAAAGCATACACATTTTTTATAAAAGCATACACATCTTTTTATAAAAGCGTACACATCAATTCTTCATTAATATAAAAGCATACACATCAATTCTTTATTTTTATAAAAGCATACACATCAATGCTTTTAGTTTTTTCAACTCATTTTGAATCAAAGTAAAATCTTATGTTTCTTAATTTTTTTATAAAATCAATCATTTTTTACTTCCAGTACATGACGTCATTGATTTTTTTGCTTGTTTACATAATCATTTAAAACAAAAATGTTAGTTTTTCTTGGTATGCATTAATTCTTATGTTTTAACGAGAAAAAAAATTAGCCCAAAATTTTTTCTTTTTTTTATCATTCTCTTTAATATGAACACAACTGTCTTCATGGTGGTTTGTGATCACTTAAAGAGGTTTGAAAGCAACTTTTTTTTCTTTTAAAGTTGAAGTATGACACTAAACATCTATGAATATGTTTTTGAAATTTTTGTGCCAAATTATATAATCTTAAAATATTTTCTCATTTAATTCATGTCAAAATATTAATGTTACAATAAGTGTTCTGGATGAACATTAAGTTTCCTTAATGTTACAATAAGTGTTTTGGATGAATATAAGGTTTTCTAAATGTTACATAAGTGTTCTGGATGAACATTAAGTGTTCTTAATCTTATTGTAAGTGTTCCTAATGTTATAATAAGTGTTCTTAATGTTACAAGAAGTGCTCTGGATAAATATTGAAAACATTAAGTGTTCTTAATGAGCAAAATAATTCAAAAGTTTTCAAATAACACTAATAATGAAAGTCTAATATTTTTATTTTTCAATATGTCTATTATTTTTATACAGAATAATTATTTAGAGAAGTGTTGTCTCTTATGGAAGAATGTGAAATTGAAGACAATGAAATTGATGTTGTGCAACTTGCAAATATTTTTTGTGAAAAGGTAATTTATTACATATTATTGATACTTTTGTAAACAAAATTAAAATGTGCTTCAATAAAAAAGTTCAAAAACTTTATTAAACTTGTTAAAAGTGAGTTATACAGCCATTATATGTTGTGTATATTGGTAAGAAAATTCTTTGACTGCATTCTTATGCAGCCATTATATGTTGCGTATAATGATCACGATGTTTGTCAGTAAATTATTTAGAAAATACTAAAGCAGCCATTATGAAAATTATTCAGAAACTGCTTATGCAGCTATTATGAAGTTTAATATAAATTTTTAACAATAATAGTAGGAAATAAAAAATTGAAACTATTAAACTAAATTGACAATATTTGTTTGTTTGTTTTTACTTCACTTCCCCTTGTGGCCACAGGGCCACTGTTCACTACAGTTGACCCAAAGGGCCACTACAGTTGAGGAGGTTACTCATTAAACAATCCACTATCAACCTTTTGATTCCGAAACTCAAGAAGAACATAAGTACTGCATGGAGAAATAAGTTGATTGTGTTACTCCCCAGAATATAGTGTCGATCAAACTTGAAACTTTTTGTTTACAAAAACAAGTGTTCTACCACTACACCGCTATTGCACTACTACTACACCGCTTTTGCACTACCACTACACCGCTTTTGCACTGGTATACCTATTCAGTTGTTAAATTACATATTTTGCGCCTAGAATATGTAAATAAAATGTAGGTAAATATAATGTAGGTATGGTTTAACCAACGTGTCAAAGTTATATGATAAAATTTCTCAGTTTACTGATGCCTAAAACAGTTTAAAACCAGATGTGGAGAGAAAATAATTTAAAATGAAAAATACCAAAAACAAACAAAAAAATGTTATTTATTATGTTGTTCTTAATTTAGCTTTATATAATAAGTTTTTTTTTTATGTTGTTTTTTATTTAGCTTCACATAATTAGTTTGTTTTTTATTAACTACTATAAAATAATTTTCTTAAGGCAGAGGGATTCAATCACCATTACACAAGCTACTGCACAAATTTTCCAGAGTAATGTTTTTTTTTTTACATTAAAATTATTTTTTTATTCAATTTTTACAATAAAGTCAATAAATGATCTAAATGTAAAATTTTTCAAATTATCATTATTTTTTATTATAGAATTTCGTCACTGTTTACTGTTATAATGCACGACCCCAGAATTTCAGCATTTTTTACAGTAAGTTTTTTTTTGTGTTTTTTTTTATTTTATTTACTTTTGTGGAAAATTGTCTAGTTTATTTAAACCAAATGAAAAAAGATGATTACCTTCGTGAAACTGTTCATTAAAGCTTCATGAAACCACTAAACTACTAAATTCATGTAAAACTTTGTAAAACTTTCATGAAACTACTATGATTGTGTTGGCTTCATGAAACTACTATTATTGTGGCAGCTTCATGAACTACTATGCTTGTGGCGGTTTTATGAAACTACTATGATTGTGGCAGCTTTATGAAACTACTATGATTGTGGCAGCTTCATGAAACTGCTGTAATCATGACAGCTTTATGAAACTTTCATGAAACTATCAAGATTAAATTTAAAAAGATAATTAAAATTATGATCCTCTCTCATTTTTTATCACTGCACAAAGTCAATTCTGCAATCTATTAACACTGCATAAATAACCGCAATTATAGTTATTCAATTATAATTGTGGTCTTAGTTTTTTATCATAAAACCTTTATGTTTACAATTACAATTACATAGAATAAAAAGCACAAAAGTTCAAAGTTCTGTTTTGATTTACTTTTTGGTAAAAGTATTGCCATGATTTCAAAATAATTGTCAACAATTATTTTAAAATCTTGGCAGTTATCTAACATGGCAATCACTGGTTGGGAAGTTACTAAAAATAAAAAACATAGATAAAAAACCAGTAAACAAAATGCTCAAAAAGTTGCAAGTTGTACGAATCAGGAAAATAAAATAGGGAATATAAAATGAGAGAAGCTGATGCAGATGATAAGAATAATAATAAGAATAATAAGATGATAATGAGAAACCACAGATCCAGAAAAAAACTATAGGAATAAAAATTTAATTTAATGCTTGCTTAATAGCCCTGATAATTTTTATTCTATTACATTTAATTGCCCTGATAATTTTTATTTAATGAATCAGCAGTAAAACAAGAAGATCTACATTTTTACTGTTAGTCAGTTATCGGATTCAAAATGACTTTATTACATGTTTCTTAATTAAAGACTCAAAACCTTGCTTGTAATTTTTCTAAAAAACTAATTAGGCAATCTTCAGATTTTTTTACAAATGGAACCAGTTTGTAATGAAAGAAGCTCCAGCAACACTTTTGTGAGATTGTGGCTGAAATGTTGTCCAGACCACAAAATGTAGTAGAGTTTAAGCTTTAAACAAAAAAACTCAATGCGCTTACAATGTCTACAAATAAATTTGTTTTTTTGAAGATTGATCATTAAATTTAAGAGATAAGTTAGAGCAAAATATTTTTAGTTTTGAATAGTTTTACCTTATTTTTAGTCGAGGTAATAAGGCCAGATATTTTTATTTTTAGTAGAGGTAATAAGATTTTTATTATGAAAAGGTAATAGGTAGAGAGAGATTTTTAGGAGAGTTAGTAAGATCAGACCTATGTTTGAGAGATTATTAGACTTGTTTTTTCATAAGATTTTCCATAAATTATAACTTCTGAGATGAAGTATGATATTAATCTGAGAATAACAAAGCTCAGCATTTTACAATTATTTAGGTTATGTGCTTGCACTGCTAAGTTACCCGAACTTTTGATTTGTTACCCTAATTTTTAATTAGTTACCCAAGTTTTTGATTTGTTACACAAATTTTTGATTGGTTATACAAATATTTGATTGGGTACACAAAATTTTGATTAGGTACACAAAATTTTGATTGGTTGCCCAAATTTTTGATTGTTTACACAAGTCTTTGATTGTTAACAAAAATTTTTGATTCAAAGAAAACCATTAGATTTAAATTGTTAATATTTGTTTTATTTTTATATTTATTTAATATTTGTTTTATTTTAAATATTTGACTATGCAAAAAAATATTATATTTATATTTTTTGTATATGATGGCTGTACAAAAAATTTTTTGTTTGTTTGTTCATTTTTTGTTTTTATATTTAATAAATTCATTCCAGCTCAATTCATGATTGACTTGCCATTTTAGATGTCATTTAAAAAAAAAAAAGAAGAAGAATATATTTTCCCACTTTTTAGACAATTTTAGAGATATTTTTGAAACATATTATTTAACACAATTGATTTCCTTCTCACTCAACTGAAAATCCAATACCACCAGCCATCTACTTCTTCCACCATCTTTAATTTAGACTTACTTTAATTAATTATTTTTGTTTTCAAAATTTATTGAAATTAAAAATTTTGATGTAGATGAGACAGCATGTTATTGGTCATGCATTATCATTAGAAAGTTATTTGCTAAAACCAGTTCAACGAATACTAAAGTATCATCTCTTGTTTAGGGTTAGTTTTTACAAATAAAGTTTGCTTGATTTGAAAAAATGTTTGGATTACAAAATTTTTATTTTTATTTTTTTTCAAAACATTTTCAGGATATTTTGAAAAGTTATGATGGAGATGTGGACAGTTATAATATAATAAATGTGGGTAATTTTTTTTAATTTATGTTGAAGTGATTTTTAAAATTTTTTAATATCAAGTGTTTTTTCAGTCTGCTTCGCAGAAGATGAGCGATGTAGCAGAGTACATCAATGAAATGAAACGTTTACATGAGAATGCTCAGAAAGTTCAAGAAATTTTAAACAAAATAGTTGATTTGAATGTAAATGTTTTTGAATTTTTTTAAATTTTCTTATTCTTTTTAAATGTAGCTATTATATCAATCACTATTTTATAGATATCAACAGGTGACACTTGTAGTAGCTATAAATAAAACAGATCTTATTTAAATGTAACATGTCTTATTTAAATAAAACAAATCTTATATAAATGTCTTATATAAATGTATGCATAACTAGTTTTAAAATCAAATGTAAATTTAAATAGTTTGACTTTTTGCAATTTGAATATTGTAAGATGTCATAATTAACAACAGCAACTTAACATATATTAAATACATATGCATATATATAGGCAACTATAAATGCGTGTTTAGATAATAGTCGTGGTGTCACACTGAAATAGCCTGTTGAAGGGGCTTCAGTACATACATCTACTATTTTATAGTCTGCTGCAGCAAAGGAATGCCACTACATTCACTGAGGGTTTGGGATGGGGCAGCAATCTTTTCTTTTATTATTTTTTGTTTTTTGAAAAAGCTGTATATATATATATATATATATATATATATATATATATATATATATATATATATATATATATATATATACATATATATATAAAGCTTGTTTACTTACTTATATTTTCTACATTGTGATAGATATACATATTTAGGATGCAATGAATGTGTTTAGTACAGGAAGATTTGTTTTAGAGGTATTTTTAAATTATGTGAAATGTTTTTATTTACAGTTTTTCAAATCAACAATAGGCTGTTTTTATTTTGTTTTTATAAATAGAACAGTTTTAAAGTACATGGCATAAGAGGTGATCGCTACTTTTATTTATTTGAAAAAATGCTTCTAGTTTGTAAAAAAAGTGATGACATGTATCATTTTAAAGAAAAGATAGAGGTATTTTTTTAATGATTTACACTGAAATAAGAAAATTTAAATTTAATTTTATAAAAAGATTTCAATTAAATTTAGTGTTCCGATATGATTCTACAAGAAGGTATGAAAGACTCACTTATTTTTCAAGTGATGCGTTACAGCAATTCAAAAGTGTCCTATTCAATTGTGGTAAATTCTTTTCATCATATTCAATTATGATAAAAGTTTTTGTTTTTGCATCAAATATTTGTCTATATTGTTTATTCATCATATATTAGTCTATGTTGTTTATGCTTTATTTCTTTTTCACTTTAGGCAAAAAATCTAGAAATAAAAAAAATATGGATTCAACATTTAAAGCGTTTGATTGTAGAGAGTCATAAGGCATTGATTCCGCAAACTGTAAACAAATTATTTTTTTAACTCCTTTTGATTAATTGTATTAATTTGTAAATTTTATAATTTTTTTATAAAAGGTTCGCCAAGCCATATTAGGACCTGAAGAAAAATCAAGAAGCAAATATAATTCCTGTATGTTTTTAAGTGTTTCTTTTCATATTAATATGCATTTATAAAACATTTTTAATACATATGTACATATAAACATGCAAATGTACATTAAGGTGTCCCAAAAAAAAAAAAAAACAACCTTTTTTTCTAAACTTTGCTTGTACATTCAAAATTCCTTGTCTATATAAAGGTAGAAGATAAATACATAGTAAAAAATTGCACTTAGATCATTTTAAGTGCTTACTGTAAAATTCCTAAATCTTCCTTTTTTAGCTAGAAAATATTAAAATTAAATTACTGACAGTAAAATTCTTTTGCTCATAAATATATCTCATTATTATCATTAACTGACAGTACAATTCTTTTATTCACAAATATATCTCATTATATATTATCATATAGAAAGCTTTAAATTTTCATAAGTTTGTTTTCAGTTACTTTCTTTAATACTTTTTTTCTCTCCTCTCTTGCTATCATTAGTATATTTTGATGCTGTTTTTCTTTTTGAGAATATTTAAAAAAATCATTTATTAATCCGATGTTTCTTTCAGCGCAGTCATTAGTTACACTAAGTCTTTTGACAAAATTTTCAAAAACACTATACGATTCAGTTTTCGAGAAGTTGGGATGAGAATGTACCCAATCTTTGACTTGATTTCCGATTCCTAGGTGTATAAATATAAGCAAGCTATCAGCAGTAACAAGGTCTGAAAGCTTGCTGTTTGGTAAGAGTAAAACAGGATTAGGTTTTTCCATATTTATTTTTTCTAGCTCTCGAACTGGAAAGGAAATTAATAACTTCAAAATTTCATACTTGACAAACATTTCCAAGTGAGAGTCAACTAGTGAAAAAACAACTACTGCTGGAGGAAGATACCATGAATGTTTATGAAAACTTTTAATCAAAGCATTGCCAACATCAGCATTAAATTCCTTGATAACATATGCATTAAAATCATTAAGTACAGCATGTTGAGCGCTTCTAGACTTGAGGTACCATGGAGCATAACAAACAGCAACAATAAAGGTACATGTTTCAATTTCATTTTTATTTTCATCAGGTAAAAAGATTATAATAGTGGATGTCATTTCTAGTGTAAGAATATTCAAAGCTTTCAAATTCAATAAGCTTATCAGATTCAACGCCAAGATAAAAAGCCAAATATTTTACAAGGTGATTATAATAATTTCTTGGAAAAATTTTATTCTCCAATGAATACTTCGCATAATAGCTGCTAGCGCCAAGATGTAAAGCCTGCTACCTATTTCCAGCTTGTTCTAATCATATTTTTTCAGCTCTGGAATTCTTGAATTTACAGATTCATGAGAAGTTTCCCAGTTTCTTTGGAAAGCTAAGTACATAGACTTGCTTGGACCCTTGAATTTAACTTTTGTGATAGCCTGTACCGCATGAGTTATATGGAGTTCATATATGTGGTGATGACACATAAATCAGAACAAGCACTTGTTAAGAATTCTACTAATAACTATTATAGCCCTATTTAGTCTTGATGTTTAGTCTACCTGTATAACTTGATGTAGTATCAGTACAGACTCCAATTATATTATCAGCTATTTCAAAATACTCTAAAATGTTTTGAATAACAAATGGGTGATCTTTTCCTTTATTGCTCTCTACAGCTATAATTCCAAGTAGACGTTCATCTTTTGTATTAAATTCAGGGCTGGTAACAGATATCGCAACCCTTTCGTTTTTAATTGTAATTTTTAACTTTTCCTCTATTTCTTTTACCAACTTACTGTCAAAGTGCAAGATCAAATTCTTTCCCAACATTTTTTTTTAATGGCTTGATCTGATGGTGGCTCCTAGATTAAAAGGATTTTTTTTTCTTTATAATCATTTTTTTTATTTTATTATAAATATTTTGAATGTAAAAAAAAATTACCTAAATCTTCAATAAACTTGAATCTACTTCTAGCTATATTTAAATCTATTTAAATCATGAACATTTTTCCCTAAAGCTTTAATAACAGCTCCTAGAAACATTGTGAGCAAATGCTAATTCTGCATCTAACACTAACAGGTGTTGTAGCTAATAGAAACTTGTCTCTGTCGAACTCTATTGCTATTTCTGAACAGCCAGACTTGTTTTTGACGCTTTAACTTTGTGTGTGTTAGAAGCTGATTTTCGTTGCTTTCTGGAAAATCAAAATCACTATCACTAGCAACTGAAAACTGGTGAGTCGCAGAACCTAAGTATTAATGACTTAATAAAGTGAGTAAGAGTTTCATCTTTTTTTTTATAAAAATTTTTTGGAATAAAAGATAAAGATATAATTTACCTGATGCCTCGGTTTCATCTGATTCATGAGAGATCACTTCATCTATTTCTAAATCAATTTTGCAATTAAATTTAAAACCTTCATTAACTCTGCATTTTTTTTCATAAGATCTCATTCTTTCATACCTTTTAATTCTCCTTTCAACTCTTTGTTTCATATCAATGTCATACTTTTAACTCATCACACCTCTCCTCAATGTTCTTTGATCTTAAAGAAAAAATAAATCTTAAAAGCTTATCTCCATATTTTCATAACACAAATCTTTGTCAAGGCAAACCATATGCCTACTCCCGCTCTTTGTTTTGTATGAAAAATTTTCTTGGGTAGACTTGAACCTTTTACTTTTTTCTGTAATAACCAACTGATAATATCGTAGAACTGTTCCATTTGTTGGAAGTTGATGTTGAGGAAAAACAGAAATCGGACTTCTGAAAAGGTAAAGCAGTTGTCGTGGGTTTAAATTATCATTGTAGTTTCACTTTTTTATTTTAGTGATCTTTCTTTTCGCAATTTGTGATAAAAATTTGTTTTAAGTATTTATTTATTTTTATTTTTTATAAACTAAATTATTCAAAAGATTTTGTCAAGAGTAACGATTTTATTAGTTATTTTTTTATCAGAAAAAAATGATTGGTATAAGTTTTGTTTACATTTTTTAAAAAGGTAATCAAGATTGCGGCTTTCAAAGTCAAATAAGATAAAGTTGGTATATTGGTATATAATAATTTAAAAATACCTGTTAGTCCAAAAAAAAAATAGGTATCCAAATTATCGATGTTTTTAAAACACATTAATATATATATATATATATATATTTTTTAATTTCCTAATATTCAGAACAGTGATCAAGAAAAGTTTGTTAATATACTACTAGTTAATCAGTTACCACCCCAAAAAAAAAGAATACCCTAATACAATTTTTATTTAAAAAAAAGATTACAGATGTTTTTTAAATTATGAAAAACAACAGCTGTTAGAATTGTTAAAAGAGTGAGTTTTTATTTAGATGCAGCCAAAATATTTAAGTTAAGAAAAACTCAGAACAGTTAATAACATCCGATTTTTAATTTCTACAATAGGCACTTAGAGTGGTCTTATTAATCTTTTTTCAATACTAGCGGTCTTCTTTAAATATATAGACAAAGAATGTGTACAATTTTTTTTATTTTATATTTTTGGGACATCCTAATGCTCATAGCTACTACATAGCCTTTGTTTCAAAACATAGCTACTACGTATCATAGCTACTACATAAATATGTAGCCCGTTACATCACTACCAATATAAAATGTATAATACAATATGTTTAAAATAAATTTTTATAAAAAATTAGACGCTACTCTTAGTGGTGTAAAAACATAAGTTGCAAAAGTAAAAAAAGTTTGTGTACATTACTTAATTTTAACTTAATTTTCAAGTCAAAAGTTATCAGAGTTAATTTAATTTGTGGGATAGCCCACACTATCGCCAGGAAGATTAAGTCCAAGTTTTAATTTCGCTAAAATTATTATTTTAATTTTTTCAGGATATAACTACTACATAGCCCGCTATATAGCTTTTATATAGCCCAATATATATGTACTACATAGCCCATGGGGTATCCACCCACTACATAGCTTTTATACAAATGCAACAACATAACCTGTTATATACCTATTACATAACCTGTTATATAGCTAATACATAGCCCACTTATAACTACTACATAGCTACTACCAAAGCATGTAACCTTTATATAAAATATGATAATACAATATGTGTTAAATAAGTTAAAGTAAAATTTATTAAATTAGTTTTAGTCACTCGGTGTAGTTAAGGCGATTTACAAAATATTTAAATTCTTTTATTTGGAATTAGCATGGTTTTGTCAGCATATTATGTCCAAACAAGATCTTTAAATGTTATAATTTGTTTTGCTTCAGGTTTTTATAATATTTAAAGAAACCTTTCTTTTTTTTATATAATTTTCAAAATCTTTTCACTACCCGTAATAATGTATCTAAAGAACACTATTTTGGATGCTTTAGATCAATTCCGCTCATCGGCATTAACATGAATTTAATTAAAATCTTTTTAAAAAGTTTCTTTATTTACTACTGATTCTAGTTGTAATCGGTTCTGGCGTATATTAACTATATATAGTTGTCTAAACACACTATTTCTATCAATTTTCACAAAAAATACTGGAATTTCGATCAAGAAAGAGCTTATAATTATAGAAAATTGCCAATAAGCAATCAGAACAGATCATAATGTTAAATTATAATGTTTATTTCACCTAAAAAACGTAATAATATAAAATCTTATTCAAATTTGGACGAGCGATTGTGATTTTAAGACGATTTTTTTAAAAAAAAAAAGATTCCACGGTCTGGGATTTTTCGCTACAAACATTTATATTTTAAGATACCGCAAAATTTATTATTTTAATTTTTTTCGTCTTTTCATAATTTAAACCAGATTTAAACCAGATTTAATTACCAGATCATTTAACGGAAATATGTTGTAGTCAACAAAATATCATACAGACGCTATAATATTTTAAAAGTGCCTTAACTACACCGAGCATGTAAAAGTAAAAGTTGCAAAACAAAACAAAAAAAAATTAAAAAATAATATTTTTTAATGAACTACCTGATTTTTGCAACTTTTTATCAATTTAAAAGTTGTACATGTTTATTCGACATAAAAAGGCGTCAAATGAATTGCCAATGGTGTTTGTTTTTTAAATTTAAAAACGTTTTTTTTCACTAAAGCAACCATAAATTTTAATTTTTTTTTTTTTTTTGGCTAAAATCATTTTCATATTAATTATAAACAAAGTTTATTTTTTCATATTTTTTTTATATAATATAGTTTTTGAGTTTACCTCAGAAAAGAAAAATATCAGCAGACAGACAACCGCTATGCTTTTATATAATTGTATGTATGTATGTGTATATATATATATATATATATATATATATATATATATATATATATATATATATATATATATATATATATATATATATATATATATATATATATAGTTAGCAATTTTTATTATTAGTGTCAATTGATGCACTTGATGATCCAATATTTAGTAATAAAATATCAGCCAAAAATAAAGAAAATCGTAAGTTTATTAATTTTTTTTTGACAGCATATTTTATTTCAAATACCTGACAAAGACACAAAAATACTGTAGTAGTAGTAGTAGTAGTAGTAGTAGTAGTAGTAGTAGTAGTAGTAGTAGTAGTAGTAGTAGTAGTAGTAGTAGTAGTAGTAGTAGTAGTAGTAGTAGTAGTAGTAGTAGTAGTAGTAGTAGTAGTAGTAGTAGTAGGAGTAGGAGTAGGAGTAGTAGTAGTAGTAGTAGGAGTAGGAGTAGGAGTAGTAGTAGTAGTAGGAGTAGGAGTAGTAGTAGTAGTAGTAGTAGTATGTGGAAACATCTTTTTAAACATTCTTTTTTCTGGCAAAGTACAGGTGCTTCATATTTTTAGTATTCAAATGTGCAAATACATATCATATTGTTTCATTATTATTTTTATTTCTAAGACTATGTTAAAATTAATTAATTTTTGATAAAGTGATTGGCATTTTCAATTTTAAGAATGTATAACAGTGCTATAGTTTGTTTTTATATTTTATTTGGTAATGTTGCTAATAATGTTAACCACACAGTTCTTTTTTATTGTATTGGTTTTAAACTTAAGGTGTACTTTAAAAAAAAAAATTTGTTTTGATCTAACTATATAGATTACCATTAATTGATTTTGTGTCTCTGTTAAGTTGACTCGAACAGAATTGGTTATGATTCTCTGGTGAGTTGACTGGAGCAGAGTTAGTTATGATTAGAGCAGAAGTTACTGGACTGGAACAGAGTTGGTTTTGACTCTCTGAATTCTTTTGAGTTGATTGGAGCAGAGTTGTTATGATTCTCTGTTGAGTTGACTGGAGCAGAGTTGGTTATGATTCTCTGAATTCTTCAGATTTTCTCAAAAGATTTGAATAAAAAGAAATTATTTAAAATATTGTTATCATATGTTAGGCATCAATATTTGTAAAAGTTAGAAAGGTGATTGCTTGTGAAAGTGCTTCACTATTAAACATATCAGTAAATTTTTTACCCTGGCTAGTTTTGTTACCATGTGTCATTATATAGTTGTTACTTAACCATTGGAAAAAAGTAAGGCTTAAAAATATTTATTACTGTATTGTTTAGGATTTTCATTTTTATATGCACGTCTATTCATTTTTATATGCGTGTTTATTTATTCTTATATGCGTGTTTATTCACTCTTATATGTGTGTTTATTAGGGCTGTACCGAATTTCGGCTCCGGCTCCTGCTCCGGCCGAAATCCGGCCATTTTTACAAATCCGGCTTAAATCCGGCTCCGGCAAAATGTTAGCAAATCCGGCTTAATTTTAGCCGGATTTCTGAATTTTGATAGGATATGTATTACATCTTTCTTGCCCGTGATAACATGTATACTTAATATTTTATTTTTACAAATCAATGTTTTTAGTAATTCTAAAGTCTATGAAATTTATATTTCTTTACAATTTAATTAGCTAAGCCTATTTTCAAACAACAACGCAACAAAAAATTCTGAAGGGAAGACATAAAATATTCTGCAATAATGCAGGTGTAAAGACTATGAATTCAATCCTAATCAAGTCATTGGATAAGCGTTTTAAAGGCATTGAGGAGAAACCTTTTTATATAGTGGTGGCACTGGCTGATCCATAATTTCAAACTAAGCTCATATCATTACAGTCAACACTGACAGGTGAAAAAGCAAGATTGACGTCAATCTGAGCATGCTGAGCAGCAGATTGATAAAACTAAAGAAAATTCAGCAAAACAAGCCCAGCTGGATAATTCTTATACATTATCATCATAAAAATGGCAATACATATAGATGAAATTATTCAGTCTAGGCCCGCTGGCACTGCACATAAACAACAATTACCAACAGGCATTGACACTCAGCTACCCAGCTAAAAATTAACGTTCTAAGAACGTTACCATAACGTTCGTTTAGGTTTGAATAACATACGCTCCAGACGTTCTTTGAACCAATTTTTGTGAACTCCGATTTACAGTTCTTAAGTGTTCGCTGAGAACGTTCAAACAACGAACGTTGATCTAACGTTTGCTGCAAACGTTACTTTGATAGCTCTTGAACGTCCACCCCTGCTAAAAATTAACGTTACCATAACGTTTGTTTAGGTTTGCATAACGTACGCTGCAAACATTATTTGAACAAATTTTTGTGAACTCCAATTTACATTTCTTGAACGTTCGCTAAACGTTCAATTAACAAACAGTGAACGTTTGCTGGAAACGTTATTTTGATAGCTCTTAAACGTCCACTTTAAACGTGTTATTACGAACACGGACGTTAACCTAATTTTTTTTTTCTTTTCAATCTATAGATTTAAACATACTTTTTGTTTAAACCTAGGTTTGCTAGTATTTGTAATGTAATGCTTTTTTGAATTAACAAAGCCTATTTTTACTTAATAAATACAAATTCACCATGTTTTATAGCTGAATTACACCATATAAAGCTTATACGAAAACCCACGATTTACCTATTACATTTACGATTTAATATACATTTCGACCAAAAGCACACAATTAGCTGAGCTGATTACAATTAAGAAAAATAATACTTCTTGCGATGAAAAAGTTGATTTATTAGTACTAGTAGGCGCCCTATAGGGCGTAAATAATAATTTACATCAATTTAAACTAAATTTTTATAAAACAACATGAACAACATAAAAAATATAAACATATTATTCCAGGGGAAAGTCCAGATAATTCCACTAAAAACATTAAAAACATGCACGTCGTATGTAAAATATCAAACCTTATCATACATCATAATAAATAAAAACAATTCCTAATTAAAAACAAATGCTTTTTGTGGATTTGATAAACAAACTAGTTTTATTTATGAATTATCTATACACAAAAAATAACATTAGTTCACAATAATGTGTTTTAGCCACTTAACAATTAAAAAAAAACTTTTTGATCTTTTTTGGTCATATAACATATAACATAACATATGCTAGCCCGTACTGTCAAAACTTTCTTTAAAATGTCGCTGCAACAGAAAACAACTGTCACTTGGTGTTCTGAATAGTGAACATTGTTAGCCATTTTCAGCACCCAGTAGGGATGTACGGGATTTTGGCTCCAGTAGTTTTTTTTCGAAATCCGGCTCCGGCTTCGATTCCGGCCGGATCTGATAGTAGAAATCCGGCAAATCCGGTTCCGGCCGGATTTGGAAAAATTAAATCCGGTACAGCCCTAGTGTTTATTCATTCTTATATGCGCGTTTATATATATTATGAGTCAATGACCCATTAAATCTCTAATGTATTTTTGTATAAACAATAAATAGGCATTTATGTTTTTATATAGATATATTTAAAATATAAATTAGGTTGCTGTCACTGCTATTTATTTAAAAAATGGTTGCCAAGCCAGAGTTGGATTTATGTAACTACGCATATAGTTGTAAAATGGATTTAAATGAAACTCTTTAGTATCCATAATATTTTTAAGTTTCCTGATTACCCCTATCAGTATTTTTCTTTCCCCTGTTTGTAAGTATGCTTTAAAGACAATTCTTCTATTGGATTAAAATTCTATTGGATTAAAAACTTCTTCTATTGGAATTAGCTGTGGCATGTATGCTGGTAGATACTTAACAGCTATGCCATAAAAGGTTAGTGTTTGCCTAACAGAAAGACTCCAGTGGTATTTACAATTGTCCATAACAAACACCGGCGCTTCCGCATCTGCATTCCTAATTGCTAGTGTCAACATAGTAGTAATGAAAGTAGAAAATGATTCTGCATTCCAGCTTCCAGTTTTTAATTCATAAGCCAACACTTCCATTGTTGAAACACTTTGCAGACGACTGTATATTGCTGGTGCACCTCTTAGCGAATAACCATATGTGCTGTTGGTGTGCACATTAAATCCAGTTTCATCCAAATAAATAAGTTTTTCATTTAAAATTCCATTAATTTTGCTTGCATATGCATAGCGTATAGCACTAACTTGTATTGCATATGCATAGCGTATAGCAATAACTTGTATTGAGTTTTGTTCTTCTTGCACATACACAACATGCTTTTTTGATAAATCTAGGTGTTTGAGTTTTCTTGAAATAGTAGACTGAGACATGTTGAAGTCTGCTGCAGAAAGATTTTCTTTTATTGCTTCTTGCATACAAAGATTGTTTTCTTGTACATATAATTCAATATTGTTTTTTATTTGAGCGTTTATAGGTTTTTTAACTCGTTCTTATCAGAAAATGACTTGAATGCAGTCATGTCGTCAAATTCTCCTTTGTTTAATTTATTAACATGATTTTGAACTATGCGTTTAGATTTAAAGAGTAGTAGAAATGCTTGTTGTAAATTCATTTCTTTCAACTAAATACTTAAGCATTTCAATGCACCCTTTTGTAACATTTTTCCTTGTTTTTCGATTGGCACTGCTATTTTCTCTTCCATCCATAGGGTAAATATTTGTGTATTAATAATAGTTATAAATAATTAAATTTAAATCCAGATAAATGAATAGTTAGATAAGTAATAGTTTAATCAATCAATAAATTTAATAATAAATTTAATAATAAAATTAAACAAAGATTTTCCTAAATTAAGCAAAATAGGATAGTTTGTACCTTAAATAAACCATTAATGTAAAAAGTCTTCGTCTTAAGTATTTTTAACCTCGTTTACCAAGAAACAAGAACAATTTGTGTTGAAAAAAAAACAAATTGTTCTTGTTTCCTGGTAAACAAGGTCAATTGTTAAATTACTAATGTGTCAACAAAAATGTATTGCAGAAGACCTTCAAAGTAACATAAAGTTTCAGATGTTTGTGGAAGGTTTGATAGCATTACTTTCTGAGGATATTGGTTTACTCTAATCAGCAAGTGATTTGCACTGTTGTTTATTTAAGTTTTCTACAAATAGTGTTAAAGAATATTTTGTGAAATCATTCACTGAGCTACAATGCCAATAAATGTCAAAACATTTCTTTACTCATTATATAAGAATTTAGCAAACTCTGACATTTTTGTTACTTATCTTGATTTTA